TTCAATTTTGCCAAAGATATAAAAAGTTAAAACATTTTTCATTTTACTACAAAGTAAAACCATTTTTAAGGATTTAATTTTAAAATGGTAGTATTATACAATTAGTTTGTTAAGCTTTTAACATGTTACACCATCAAAGTAAAGAATACATACTTTAGAGAAGGTTGGTGGTGTATCATTTATATCAAGTACAGTTAAAGAAACACTGCATGAGCTGCTTCTTGATGGGGTACCCAGATCTGTGACTGTGACATTGATGCTATAGTGATCAGCAGTTTCTCTGTCCAAATTACTGCGAAGTGTTATTTTGCCTGAAGTGCTATCGATGATAAATTTCTCGGAATTCTTTTGATCAATGCTGTATATGAAAAGGTTATTAGGTGCAGTGCCATCTGCATCATTTGCAACAACTTGAAGAATAAGAGATTCTGTAAAAATAAAAAAAAATACATTTTTATTAGATTGGCAATAACTGAAAAAAAATCCTAAGCAGAGTAGTGTTAGACAAAGATAGTGGTAAGAAATAAACTAAAAACAGAAAAAGGAAGTTTATTTTACCAATTGTTAGATTTTCTTTCACAGTCTGTGAGTACATAGTTTGTGTGCACATAGGAGCATAGTTGTTGATGTACTGAAAATTCAGAAAAATAAAAAAAATATTAATATAATTGACTAGATCTAGATCTAGTTAAGAAGGGATTAATTAAATTCATGTTTAATTTATACTAGGCCCCTATAGGCTACAGTAAGCTACAGGCCTACAGGCTTTTAAACTGCTTATAGTTTTAATCTTGTTTGTTAATGAACACAACAATGTTTAGCGATTTTTTTTGAAGAATTAAGGACAAGTAAAAGTAAAACATAATACATTAGTCTACTTAAATGACCTGGTATTTATCAGAGCACTCGGGCAAGTTGTCGTTCTTGTCGCCTACAGTGATGGTCACCGTAGTGGTGGCCGTAAAGACGCTGTTTGGCTCCTGAGGGTGTTCGTTGCCTTCTGTTGCCTACACGAAATTTGAAATAAATTTACAGGGAGAGCCACGAGTGTTGATGGATTCATGAAATAATAACTCCGTACAAGTTAATTCATTATTAAATATTTTAGAATCAAAGCCATCTTATAGACACAATGCAGTAAAACTAAAATAACTAACGACAAAATATCTAGGACCCTCATATTAATGCAAATATTTTCACGGACAAGTGCCTAACTAAATATATCTTTAGTTAAAGAATCTTTTTATTAGAATAATACTCTTTGTAAGTAAAAAAAATAAGGTACCATTTCGGGAATAGTGTACACAACAGAGGAATTATGGTGAATAAGTTTAATTGACAGTGGTATATAAAATGATTTCCTAGCCAAGTTTACTTTTCCTCGAATTAACTTAGTAACCATCGAAGCCGGGAAAAACTATATTTGAAGGGTTTGGATGCTCTATTATTCATCCACTGTTTCACATCGACCAACGCGTTTATATTTTTCTGGCAATGTCTATCATTTTTTTATGATTTTATGATAATAGGATACGTATTTTAAATTATCTATATTATTATATAACTATCTGTTGATGCTTGTGTAAAGCGGCTTCAGTTAAATTAATCGTGTTTAAATTATTTGAAAAAGATTGTAAAATATTTTTTATCATTTCCATCAGATTAAGTCTATTGGATATCATAAGCCTAAATTTGTAGTTGCAAATGTTTATATTATTTTGTAGTATGAAATTCTTTAATATATAGATTTACATTAATAAGAAATTATATTTCTTACGTTACAATCGTCTTTTTACCAGTTTTTATTTAGTTTTGAAGTCCGTAACTTTTTTGTTTGTGGGTTTGTGACATATATTGTAACTCTATTTTAACCAGTTTCTAATGCAGTGATTTCGTTGGAACTTTCTTTGAGGGCACGTTTTGAATATTTATTTTTTAAACTAATTTGATTTGTCGTTAAAATATTAATAAGCGGATTCGAAACTAAGTTGAGAAAACTAAATTAAATGCTAAAAATTACTTGATATATTACTATATTAAAAAATAGAAGGGAAGATAACTATCTGAGCTGTGGTTCGCGCTAAATGTTGTTTGGTCACGGTTCGTTGTCCGAGCGTTGACCACGTAGAAGAGATTGAAAACGTGTGAAACTCATATATTTTCTTATCGACCTCAGCTATTGATTAAAGAATACGTGTTTGTTTAATTTTTTTATTTTTAGTGCACTTAAAAGTTAGTTGCTATAGAGGTTTTTGTTTTATTTACAGATTCTGTTGCCTCCATTATATATATATATATATATATATATATATATATATATATATTTATATATATATATATATATATATATATCATATATATATATTTATATATCTATATTTCATATAAGATTTTACTGACATATTTTACTCTATTGCGACGCGTTGTACACTTTTATAACCTTGTCATTATTTTCATATTACTTGAAAGATGAATATAAAAATTGGTTATATCATTTCAAGACACCAACACTATCATTTTTATACACGGAAAAAACATCTTGAGGTTGATTCCGAAGGAAATATGAATAGATAGAAATCTTGCCCTACCAATATTGTCAGAGCACAGATTCCAGAATTGTTCCAGACAGCCCCAGAGTCTCGATCCACCCTGCTCTTCACACTGATGTCACCTGTGTGGCTGTCGATGTCAAACAATCCTAGACAGGTGTCTGTGTGGGAGGAAATGATTTTTAAAATTTTCTCGTATTCGGAGTACAGTGGGAATATTGTACCTGTGCAAAAAAGTCTTAGCTTAGAAATTTTGCCTGTATGTCTGGGCGCCCGTGTGTGTGTGTGTGTTTGTGTGTGTGTGTGTGTGTGTGTGTGTGTGTGTGTGTGTGTGTGTGTGTGTGTGTGTGAACACGATAACTTGAGAACATTTATAACTAGGCTGACGAAATTTCAATTCTAATAATTATCTCAACTTTGAAGTTTTCAAGTTTTGATCGAATTTCGGGTCTTCGAGCAAATTATTTTTTTGATATACAGCTCATATAAGGCGCCGGTCAGTCGCTGACGCTTTGAGCCTTGCCGAAATTTTCCCTCTTTCATCACGCCGGAAACGAGAGCCTGCCAAATTTGAAGCGTCTGCAGCGACGGCAAGTAACCTTACCAGCATCAGATCTCTTTGCCGTTTATATATATATATATATATATATATATATATATATATATATATATATATATATATATATATATATATATATAGAAGAAAGATTAGGAGAGATATCTCCAGCTTTATTTGCACAATTTTATTCGAGTCGAACCAAAATGTGTTATTGTATTATGTTTTTGTATTACTAAAAATGTAATATAAGAATACTGGCGTGCTTTTCATTCAACGAATTATTGATACAAATTACATCATTGGGAGTAAATTATATTGTCATATTGAGAAAACCACAGCTGTACGAATTCCATTGAGCAGGTATCAGTAAACTCCATGAGTCGAATTGTATTTGTCCTGATTGGGCACATTCCATACAACCATGTTGGGGCTTTTATTATTTAATTAAAAAAAATAATGGCTTAGCAATATGTTTCAATACATTTTTATGTTATTTAACTGAGTAATGCTTTAAAAACAAAACTGTCCATCAATGCGTAATTAATGTTATTACCATTCCTGTTGTCAAAGTTTCAATTGAGATTATCCTCCCCCGTTGTCAATTAACTATTAACCTTTGTGATGTAATTTCTCTTCAGTGGAGTTCCAAAGTTTTTTATCATTCGGTGCGATAATTCAAAGTGTCAACCCCCACCCCCTCCCACTTTCCACTAAAATAGTCTTGCATTTTCGCTTTGGATTAGCTTTTTTCCTCACCATTATATTCTTTTTGCAGGATGAAAAATTGTTTTGTTCGGCAATTTTTCGATTTTATGTCTCTCCTGAGCGGTTTCAATTGGTGAGGACATTATCCCCTGTCACGTCTTGTAACTTTAATGCCATTCTTACAGAAATGCACCGACAAATATGCCCATAAACGTAGGTATACCTTTGAGAAGGGAATAGCTAATAGAATTTGGTATGCTTTTGTCCCCATCTTCTGCCTTCACGGTAAAGATGCTGGTCGTCTGTGAGAAAATCGTTAGAAAAAAGTCAAAATTTATTTAGTATACAGTGTGGCTCACGTCGTTTAGATGTCCACTTAGAGTGACGGGACGATAGTGATTACGCAACATTAGAATATATTTGTGTGGGTTAAAACTAGTATTAGTAGATCAACACAGTGCTTCAGTAATATGATTTTGACATTAAGTTAAGCATTTCAAATGAAAAGTTTTGAATATTAAAACTACATGTTATTTGGAGTTTTTTTCAGATTATAGGACCATAATGGGCGTCCATTTAAGCTTAACTTAAATATCACTACCTTTTAATTGCAAGGTTAGGCGGCACTGTATTGATTTTAAAATGAGCTCCATCATTATAATATTATTTGTTTAATTAGAAAAAATATTTTCTAAGAAAGACGCATTGAGAAAAATTTGAAAACCACTAATAAAAACAAATTTAAAATTTAGTCTAACGTTAAAAAGATGGATTGTATTATTAAAAAAAATAAAGGAGTATATGGTTGAGATCTTACAACTGGTGTCCCTTCAGCTATCGTCTTTACGAAGGGTTCGCCGTTAAAAAATGGGCGTGTGTCTTGGACGTCAGTAACAGTAATGAATACATCAGCAACGGACGAATGGGGAGGCACTGCTTGGTCCTATGGACGTATACACAATTTTAAATGACCCTTTAAATTTTGTATTGTGAAGTATAAAAGGTTATTTTGATAATGATTGGTTAAGTAGGCATAGGTTTTATTTAAACACATAGACATACTAAATACATCAACAGGTTAAGCAAAGGGACATTGCTTAAAGAAATAGATATCGACATGTAGAACAGTTATTTTCATATTCAATTAGTTTAATTCACAATTTAATACACATTTAAATTAACCCTACCAGAACTGTGACTTTGTACTGGTAGAATCTGTTGCTCTCAAAGTCTAGCGAGCCGTTCAGGGTCAGGACAGCGGTGTATTTATCTAAGATGAACATGTTCTTATACTCCTCATCAGCCCCCTGTTGTAGGCATAAACAAACACTTAATAAATGTTTACAATAACAAATGTGGCAGACATTAATCGATTCTTTAATCAACATTTATATTAACAATAAATTCTGCTAACAGACTCTGTAATCGAAGGTTTGCAATAACAAATATGGAAGACGGTAACAGATTCTTTAATAAAACGTTTACAATGGCGACCAGAGGCGTGCGTAAAATATTGATGGAATGTGTTTAGCGTCTAATATAATCAAATGCAGTGTGGTTTTTGTTGAAATATTTTAAAATTTCAAAGTAAATATATTAACGTACCTGGGCATTAACCTAGAGATGTAAAAAAATATATACATATACACATACACATACACATACACATACACATACACATACACATACACATACACATACACATACACATACACATACACATACACATACACATACACATACACATACACATACACATACACATACACATACACATACACATACACATACACATACACATACACATACACATACACATACACATACACATACACATACACATACACATACACATACACATACACATACACATACACATACACATACACATACACATACACATACACATACACATACACATACACATACACATACACATACACATACACATACACATACACATACACATACACATACACATACACATACACATACACATACACATACACATACACATACACATACACATACACATACACATACACATACACATACACATACACATACACATACACATACACATACATATATATATATATACATACATATATATATATATATATATATATATATATATATATATATATATATATATATATATATATATATAATGAGTGCGTATATATATATATATTTATATATATATATATAATGTTCGAAATATGAATATATAGACACAAAAATATAATCTTGTTTTAAAACAACTAGCCTGTAAAGAGTATTGCAGCTGGTCATTTTTATCTCTATCAATGGCTTGAATGCTGTTGTAAACTGCAGTACCTTTAGCGACTGTCTGTTTGAAAACAAAATTGGTTCAAATAGTTGACATAGCCGAATAAAAATTCATAAAAAACGTTTTAATAACAAGCTTTTATATACTAATGCACTAAAAAGTAGAAAACAAATTATACACTACTATTTAAATTACTATAAAGAAAAGCGTGGGTCACTTTAGTACTTTAGTACCTAATGGATACCTTTACTAATATTTGAGAAGAGACCCACGCTTTTCTTTATAGTAATTTAAATAGTAGTGTATAATTTATTTTCTACTTTTTAGTGCATTCGTACATAAAAGCTTGTTATAAAAACGTTTTTTTATGAATTTTTTTTCAGTACTTTACATGTTTTATTTACATGACTAAAAACCATTGCGCGTCTATTGAACGTGATGGCGCAGCTATTGAACCTGATGGCGCAGCTATTGAACGTGATGACGCGTGTGGTGTGGTTGGATAGACATGCCTACTGATTCGGTAAAAATTTTAATTAATTCATAAAAAATTAATTAGGCATCCAATTAAGTCAAATTTAGTTTCAGATTGCATTGTCTTCATGTCTTGACCCACGCGCCAACTGTGAATCGTATCGGTCAAGTAGAACTGTCCGAATTTTCACTCCTGCGTTTCGATCTAGACTGACGACTGACGACAGACTGACGAGAAAGTGAGTTAAATAAAAGCTTGTAAAAATAAATTATAGACTACAATTTAAATAACTGACGAGGAAGTGAGTTAAATAAAAGCTTGTAATAAATTATACACTACTATTTAAATAACTATAAAGAAAAGCGTGGGTCACTTTAGTATCTATTGGATACCTTTACTAATGTTTAGGAAGAGACCCACGCTTTTCTTTACTGTTATTTAAATAGAAGTGTATAATTTATTTTCTACTTTTTAGTGCATTATTACATTAAAGCTTGTTATTAAAACGTTTTTTATGAAAAAAAATTTCAGTACTTTTCATGTTTTATTTACAATAGAGTTACATGACTAAAAACCATTGCGCGCTTATTGAACGTGATGGCGCAGCAATTGAACGTGATGGCGCGGCTATTGAACGTGATGACGCATGTGGTGTGGTTGGATAGATATGCCTACTAATTCGGTCCAAATTTTAATTAATTCATAAAAAAGTAATTAGGCATCCAATCAAGTCAAATTTAATTTCAGATTGCATTGTCTTCATGTCTTGACCCACGTGCCAAATGTGAATCGTATCGGTCCGATAGAAGTGTCCGAATTTTCACTCCGGGGTTTCGATCTAGACTGACGACAGACTGTCGACAGACAGAGGAAGTGAGTTAATAAAAGCTTGTAAAAAAAAAATTCATAAAAAACGTTTTAATAACAAGCTTTTATGTAATGATGCACTAAAAAGTAGAAAATAAATTATAGACTACTATTTAAATAACTATAAAGAAAAGCGTGGGTCACTTTAGTATCTATTGGATACCTTTACTAATGTTAAGGAAGACACCCACGCTTTTCTTTATAGTTATTTAAATAGTAGTCTATAATTTATTTTCTACTTTTTAGTGCATCATTACATAAAAGCTTGTTATTAAAACGTTTTTTATGAATTTTTTTTTCAGTACTTTACATGTTTTATCTACAATAGAGTTACATGACTAAAAACCATTGCGCGCCTACTGAATATCACGTTCAGTAGGCGCGCAATGGTTTTTGAACGCAGCCATTACGTGGTCGTGATGGCGCAGCTATTGATGACGCGTGTGGTGTGGTTGGCTAGACATGCCTACTAATTCGGTCCAAATTTTAATTAATTCATAAAAAATCAATTAGGCATCCAATTAAGTCAAATTTAGTTTCAGATTGCATTGTCTTCATGTCTTGACCCACGTGCCAACTGTGAATCGTGTCGGTCAAGTAGAACTGTCCGAATTTTCACTCCTGCGTTTCCGTCTAGACTGACGACAGACAGAGGAAGTGAGTTAAATAAAAGCTTGTAAAAAAATTCATAAAAAACGTTTTAATAACAAGCTTTTATGTAATGATGCACTAAAAAGTAGAAAATAAATTATAGACTACTATTTAAAGAACTATAAAGAAAAGCGTGGGTCACTTTAGTATCTATTGGATACCTTTACTAATGTTAAGGAAGACACCCACGCTTTTCTTTATAGTTCTTTAAATAGTAGTCTATAATTTATTTTCTACTTTTTAGTGCATCATTACATAAAAGCTTGTTATTAAAACGTTTTTTATGAATTTTTTTTTCAGTACTTTACATGTTTTATTTACAATAGAGTTACATGACTAAAAACCATTGCGCGCCTACTGAACATCACGTTCAGTAGGTTTTGAACGCAGCCATTACGTGATGGCGCAGCTATTGAAGGTGATGACGCGTGTGGTGTGGTTGGCTAGACATGCCTACTAATTCGGTCCAAATTTTAATTAATTCATTAAAAATCAATTAGGCATCCAATCAAGTCAAATTTAGTTTCAGATTGCATTGTCTTCATGTCTTGACCCACGTGCCAACTGTGAATCGTATCGGTCAAGTAGAACTGTCCGAATTTTCACTCCTGCGTTTCCGTCTGGACTGACGACAGAGGAAGTGAGTTAAATAAAAGCTTGTAAAAATAGGGAAGCACCGATCAGCAACTAAAACTTGTAATGAAGTATATACAAGCTTCCTAAAATTATATGTTTTTTTTGCAAATATGAGTAGGTCTGTTATTTAGAGTTTATACTCCAACAGTATTAACATTGAAAAGTAGATTTTACATGTTTTTATTTTCTCTGATTCTATATTCTATTTACTAGCAAACGAGATTTTGCCCAATTTCTTTGAAACTTGACACATGGTTCAAGATCCGACGAAAATGCAATTTGACATAAGCTTTGACATAATTGGATATTTAATTAATTAAAAACATGAATCAAATATTGCTATATGAAGTACTAAGCTTTACTCATTCTGTGCACGATTGTTTAAATCCATGCCATAAGGTTACATTTTTTCACCCCTTAAAAATTGACATTGGTTTTGCAAAACATTTTATATTTGTGCACTATTAATTTTCTGTGTGTATAAGTATTTATTAACACACATCCAGTAAATTTGTTTTCGACGCCATCTGACTCCCACCCCGCATTTCGACAACGTTGAAGATTAAGGGGCGGGGAAGAGATGCCTTATACCGGTCACTAATTATTATTGTTTTGTCTAAACGGTATTCACTACCCTGCTATACAACCCACATAGAAAATCTTCAACGCAGTCCGATATAACAGTGTCTATGCCCTTGACTTTGACCGCATGTAACTGCGCTAAATAAATTTTGGCGCCCCGTAGGTTACGCTATTGGGTTCTTCAATACAATGTGTACTCACCTCAGGTACAGAGACTGAATAAGGCAAATTAATAAATGTCGGTATCTCGTCGTTCTCTCCATGATTAATTAATGCTACGCTGTGTATAATATTGGAATACTGGAACAATAGGTATTAAATTAGTCGTTGTAATTCATTTTTGGTATTTAACATTCTCCTACCCTTATATAAGACCTTCCATCAGGAATTTGAAAAATAAAATATTATTTGTAATATTTATATATGTTTTATATATGATTTCACCAAATGTTACTTACATACACATTTGATCCGAAAAAATTCAATGTTATAGTACTTATATTCTGAAATAAAAATAAAACATTTTACGTCATATGTTTTAATATATCAAATTTTAAGTTAATTTATTTAAAGAGTATTTACTTTACTTAGGTTGTTACGCTAAAGTCAAAATACACTAACTATGTAATAACCTGGACCCTAAAACACACTTAAGGACTTAAAATAGAGTTCTTATACCGGTTGTGTATCGCTAGACAGTACGCTTTTAATGTTTATGATTCTCCATGCAGACTAATCCCGAAAAGAGAAACTGAGAATTTTTTGTATAGGCTACAGGTTAATGTTAAACAGATATATCAAGCGAACATTTTTTTGTTTATTTAATACCACTAACGGTGTGTAAAATTAAGTCTAGAATTAATCTTAATTTAAAAAGATTATTATAACGTGTTTAATTGATATGCCGTCTTTTAAATCACTTTTAAATAATGCACGATATTTCTTTTAAAACGTGTAATTTTAGAAGGATAAATTATAGATCTACTTTACAAGATTATATTTTGTGTGTCGATTTAAAAAAATACTAGACTATCCTTTATTCGTGGATAATTGTGGATAAATGTGTGTTTCTAGAGTCATTCAAATATGACGTAACGTTCGTCGATTTTTTCTTTCCCCTACCCCTCCCTACTCTCGCACATCGTCACAAAATGCCAGACCCCACATTTTAAAAGCAAAGATTGATATAAAATACTTAAAGGATTGAAAAAGTTTAATAAAGAAACTCAATTATTTATTGTTTTTTTATACTTGTTTTTCTTTGTAACTAATTAATTTTGGTTTGGCCTTAATTCTAGTTTATTTTTATAAGTTTCGTTTCATTTCGATAAAAATCCTTATGTGTCTCAAGTGACGTCACTATAGTTCCCTATAAATTTTTTATTTTTCGACCAAAAAAACCCATTAAAAAATTCATAAAAAAACGTTTTAATAACAAGCTTTTATGTACTAATGCACTAAAAAGTAGAAAAAAAATTATACACTACTATTTAAATTACTATAAAGAAAAGCGTGGGTCACTTTAGTACTTTAGTACCTATTGGATACCTTTACTAATATTTGAGAAGAGACCCACGCTTTTCTTTATAGTAATTTAAATAGTAGTGTATAATTTATTTTCTACTTTTTAGTGCATTAGTACATAAAAGCTTGTTATTAAAACGTTTTTTTATGAATTTTTTTTCAGTACTTTACATGCTTTATTTACAATAGTGTTACATGACTAAAAACCATTGTGCGTCAATTGAACGTGATGGCGCAGCTATTGAACCTGATGGCGCAGCTATTGAACATGATGACGCGTGTGGTGTGGTTGGATAGAAATGCCTACTAATTCGGTCCAAATTTTAATTAATTCATAAAAAATTAATTAGGCATCCAATTATGTCAAATTTAGTTTCAGATTGCATTGTCTTCATGTCTTGACCCACGTGCCAACTGTGAATGGTATCGGTCAAGTAGAACTGTCCGAATTTTCACTCCTGCGTTTCTATCTAGACTGACGACTGACGACAGACTGACGAGGAAGTGAGTTAAATAAAAGCTTGTAAAAAAACTGACCTTTTATAAATAAAGGGAGGTTTCTACAAACGAATATAAATGAATTAATTATAATCTTTAAATGATTTTTTTTTGGTAACATAGTGCAAATACTCTCATCTAGTTGCACAGAAAAAAAGACAAAAAAAAAAATAAATTAAAAAAACAACTTTTTAGTAGTTTTTAGATAGAAAGATTATCGTAGCTATAAATTGAACAGCAAGAAGTTGAGTTACTTAGAAGGACTAAAGAACAGACAGAAGGAATAGCAAAACTATTATAGAATAGATCTTGATATTCGACTGTTTTAAAATTTTAATACTTATGTTTTGACAGAGCGGGAATTTCGTAGAAGATAAAGAAAAATGGATCTATATTCTGCCCTTCAGTATTGTTGCTATCGACCATAATGTCAGCGACAATCTACTCACGCTGTCGTAATCAAACTGCTTATTTAAAAACACGTCCACCGTGAGCTTGTCTGTTGTGTTGCTCGTGGCTGTGACATTGACCTCGTCCCCGGCTGGCTGGATGTTTAGACCTGGACCTTTTTCTAATGTCAAACTGCCCAACTTTTTACCTATGGGGTCTGTTTCTCTCATCATGTAAAAAGGTTGATTAGAATTCGGAAAGACCGGAATTACTTTCTCATTCGGTAAACTCTGGGAGTTAGCACCTAAATGATAACATAAAACAATTATAATTTTAGTAAAAACATAGAGGCAGTTTACTGGAAATATTAGTATAATAATAATATTAAAGCATAATGCCTTAGAAAATATGAAGAATATGATACACAAATTAGTACATGAAGCCTATCAGTTTAGCTATTCTATTGATGCATAGTGCAACCCGAATTGAACAATCATATTTCTACTAAACTGATTTTGGATAAATAACTTTTGTATTATCAACACGCAATTACATTAAGCAACTTACAAGACCCCAACAGTACCACAGCCAGATTGATAACAAAGGTTCTTATTTCACTTGCGTCCATTCTTTACCTACACCAAACAGAAAACAAGTATTGAGTAACATCTTTAAAACGTAGTGCTTGTTAGTAGTGATTTTCACTGCAATTAAATATTGATTTTTTTGGCGACAGCTGGTTACATAATTTTCCTAAATAATTATGTCAAATGATTAAGTTATATAATAGTTAATTATAAATACCTTAAAGAACCATCATTAAAATTAACCTATGTTAACAAGTTTAAATATTTATTTATTTGTAAATATCGCAAGGTCAGAAAATCTACAATATAATGTGTAACATTTAAAATGTGTTCTTGAGTAGAAAAAAATCTGTTTAATATGAATGTATGAACACAAATGTATTTGAAGACATGAGTAAAATTAAGTAAAGCCTTAATTCATTGTTACATGACTCGACACGTAGGACATTCATGTACGTTGTTTTCCTTTTAGATATCCGAGAAAACATGTAACGTTATAAACTCCTCTTTAGACCTAGCGATCCATGGGGGCAAATGAAGTAGAGTTCATATGTTTATTGAGGTCGGCATATAATGGGAAGGTGTGGTCAGCACTTTGCCTAGCCGCCTTTAGGTACCCATCATAGCTGGGTGGACTCAGAGATGTTCTACTGACTTGAACCTGAATCGAACTCCAGACTTTTAACAGCCTAGCGCTCTACCGCTTAAACCACGCCGTCCCAAATGTAACGTTATGATGTGATGTTTTCGTAAATACCAGATATAAAATAAGGAGAGACCTCACACATAAACATAGTTCTTTCCTAAATTGCTAAAACATAAACAACAATAGGAAACAAAAAGCAAATAATTTAAAAAAAGAATTATAAGCTAGTTAATCTTCTTCTTCTTCTTCGTTCTTAATTATTAGTGTTGAAGGGGATCGAGATTTATTGGCCAGTGGGTTTGAACTCGAGACTTTGTTCGAATTTATCAACCATGAGCTTTTTGCCGACTCGACCACGCCTCCAACACAATTAAGCGTTACATGTCAACTGGCTATGCGCCATTGAGGCCATTGACTCTGATTTCAGCCTGCTTCTCTTTTTGATTTGCTTCCGTCCAACCAAGAACAAACTACAAGGCAGCAGTTGTTTAATTTTTGAGTTGTCTCTCCTAGAAGAGTGGCTATCCCCAGCTAACGAGCCTCATCTGCCCGAGGGTTCGAACTCGAGACTTTTCGGTTTAGCAACCATGAGCTTTACCGACTCGACCACGCCGACCAATTGCTAGTTAATGAATACCAAGGGCTCGCTTAGTTATAAAGACAAAAGATAAAACAAAAGATGTGTGTCTTTACTTCCTTATGCAATAGATAAGATTAACCCAACAATAGGTATTGATAAGGTGATATGTAAGTGTATAATTTGTTTGTGTGATCTTGTGCAGATCAACAACAATGCAAGAGCTAGACCTCAAGTGTCTTCATATGGAACAGATCTATCGTCTCACTTTTTAAAAGTCCAATTTAATAATTTACAGCATATTTTTTTTATTCTTTGTAATATCGCCAAAGATTGAAAACATATCGTCACGATCATTCGATTAAAATGTATTTTTTATTATTGGAGAATGATACAGTTATATGTGTATATATGTCTGTTTGTATTATAAGATCATAATATGTAAATCTTATTCTATTTGCATCTTAGGGTATTGTTTCGTTATTTTAAACAGAATAAAATAAAAATAAATCACACACCTAGTAATAATAGAATAATACGTTACGAACCAAGTAATAGGTCATGGAAAACTAATATGGCGAAACAGATACATTCGCTGTGAATACCAATTTAAAAATATATACTCACAAAATGTGTATAAGATTAACATGAGATTGTTGCAAGATGTGTAAATTCACAAGTTGCTATTTACAGAACTCAAACACGGAAGTTTTCCACGAACGCGATAAGAAGCACGTTTGTAGTTTCTGTATAGTTCACTTAATGAATCATCGCGATTAGAACAATCGGTTGTCGACACGTTTACACGCTTTAATCTCGAGTTCCCGTTGGTAATGTGTTGTCAGCCTGTTTTGAATTGCTTTAGGTTGACAAAGTAAAACTATATGAGCGTCATAGTTATCGAAACATTGGAACTCATTAGGTGCTGATGACTACACTGAGGTGAGGTATTGAGGTAACAATTTAAGAAAGACAGGTTATATAGCCGCCTTGATCGAATAACATCAACACACTTTAATAAACTTTGAATAAATGTGCCACAGAGCACAAGACACACACTTCCACACAATCACAAGTCTAGCATTCAACAAACTTAATTATTTCTCTCGGCCTCAACTTTACCCTAAGGTAACTCAACCCCTGCATGGCCCTAGCAGTCCCGCGAGGGGCGGAGTGCCTAACCTGTGCATGCATTAACTCGAACTCGTTACGACTGGGACCCGTAGCGTACGCAACGCAGGGGGAGCAGGGGGAGCGGACGCTCCCTTTCTAGTCATTTTCAGCAAAGTGGCGCCTTTTTGGAAACTTTTTAAACTCAAAGTTTTAAACAATGATATTTGTTAACAAATTATTTTTGATCGACACATCTATGTAAATCACAAGATTTCTTTTTATGCAGCAATTAAGAATAATTGTACTAATCTAGAAGCTTATAAGTTTACAACACGTATTAACAGCTGTATCAGTTTGTCATTCTAAAAATAACCATTATGATACATTGCAATGTTTAAAAATCCTCTATGGGCAGTACGAGTTAGCAAGAGGGGTGCTACGTTTAAGGCAACTGTATAATGTATTTGCTTAAGATTAATTGAATTAGAAAATATTATACATAAATCTTCACACATAATTACCGTATATATACAGTTTCAATCGTGTAATTAATTAAAAAAATATTACAATACAGACACACCCACAAATAATGTTGCACCTCTATTTAAATTTACTTATGGGCGAACTACGTAGCGGTGGGGACATTTTTACAAGGTCAACAACGTCATCACGATGAAGTACTAGTATTATGACAGTTTGGGCGATAGTGATTACGATTACAAATTTAATGAAACAGTATCAACTTTATATTAATTATTATTGTAGTTTACTAGTTCTAGATCTATATTAAATTTAAATAAGGCTACATTTAGTATAAAAAAAACAACTCAACTTAAACTAACACTGATCGCACAGTTAATTATCCGCTCAGCTGTTGTACCGTTATGAATTTGTTTCGAATAGTTAGTAATTATCAAAAGGTATTAGGTAATCGCACCATTTAAATTCTTTGGTGTATCAAATTAAATATATTGCGACTAAAACAACAGTGCCGCTTAGAATTCGTTAGTTAGGAGGTCATTAAATGGAAAGAAAACCAGTAAAGAAGAAATATTCAGGTTGAGAGAGGAAGAAATTGAAAGCTATTTCAGATCCCCAACAAACATCATCCAAAGAAAATTGTCTGCTGGTGGTACCCGGGCCTAGGAGAGTTGGGATGCTCGGGTATAGGAAGGTTGTGGGGCACAAGCATATGACAGCCTAATGCAAGTGCGTAGGATGGGTTTTCTAGGGTTGGGTAACACGGAATATGTAAACAGTGACTCACTACAAGGGGATGACCCAGTCTACTGTTGGTGATACTTGAGCCTAGGAGAGTTGCACGAGCTTATGCAGTGCATGACACAGCGCAAGAGGGGCCAAACTACTGCCGGTGAGGTTTTCGTAATGGCCTAGGTAGACTGCTAGGTTGAACAATCTACCAACTGCTGGTGAGGTTTCGTAATGGCCTAGGTAGACTGCTAGGTTCAACAATCTACCAACTGCCATTGATGCTTGTGGTCAAAGCCTAGATAGAGGATGACTGGTCTAACAGTTGAGCACTCTATCTATTGCTGCAGATGCTGACTTGAGACGGATTCTGCTGAACAAATTATGTCAACTTGTATCTGTCGCCCACCATCACGGACAAGGCTGTCTCTCAGAATCCACGCGTGCTTCACGACACGCTTCACTGGTTCCGTCATCTGTGTGGACCATACAACCGTGTGTGGCTGCTAAACAACGCTGGCTCAAGTTGCCGTCCATACGGCCTGATGAGCGGCTGTAGTTTTATTAGTATTATATCTGTAACTTAAAAAGGCGAATGCATCGTTTCGTTTCATGTATTAAGCTGTTCGTGCTTTTTAGTTATGCACTCATGTATTATGGCGCCGCTGTAAAACTGTTTACGTTGCTGTCTACGGCTAATTTGTATATATTTTGTTTATATTGTTGTCAGTGATTATATTAAGTGTACTTTTTGTATAATTCTGTCTTATGTTTTGTGATGTGTTGTTTGTTATCAGTGAATTAGGGACTATATTGTTTACGTGTAGTGTGCGAGGTGTGTGGATGTCAGTGCCCGACAGATGTTTTCTAGTCACTTTTGTATGTCAGGGGATGCGGGAGGCTCTTGTGTGTTCAGAGCCAGGACCATCCGAAACATCAGAAGTCGGCACAGCACCATCTGCTATTTGTTAAACCTTGTTGTATTGTTTCCACATAGCCTGGTAAGTTAGTTGCTCCTTTTATTTTCCTGTTTTATTATGTTTGTTGGCCATGGGCTAACTTTTTCTGTACATGCATATTTTCTTGTCACCATTGTGGTTTGCCAAACCACGTGAGGCAGCCCGACTTTTTCTTTATTGTAAAGTCAATTTTGGATTCGGATGTTTGTGTAATATTTAGGATTCTGCCTGTAACCCGATGTAAGTGTAATATTCACAGCCAGTGGCTTAGCTAGGATTTTCGGGCCCCTATGCAAAAATTATCAAAGGGCCCCTTCGTCAGCCATTAGGCTACAACTGAGTTAAATATGGGCAGCGGGAACATCGATTGCTACCAGTGTTTCTTCCAGACTTTTTTCTCATGGAGGGGGCACTTGAATTTTTCGGGGGGGGGGGGGGGGGCACTGTTAACAGTATATTATATAAATATACATATATGGTCACAGAAACAAGTGAACTCAACTTCACTTGCCCCATAGACCGTCAGGTTTGAAAGGGAAACTTACTACTTACTATATATATATATATATATATATATATATATATATATATATATATATATATATATATATATATATATATATATATATATATATATATATTCAATTTCGTTCGAGGGTGGGGGCGGTAGACTCTCTTCGAGGGGAGGGAAGGGGGGTTACACCTTCAGTAAACGCTCAGTGGGACAGGCGACCTTGTGACCACAAATCAAACCCATTTTTTTTAAATTTTATCATGATTTACTTAGATTTGATTTTTTTCATGCTTTTAAGTTTGCAATCATTAATGAGCTTCTTGAGATCAATTATAGCTGGCCAAAATATTGACCCAAATTTCTTATCTACAATTTGTTTCATAACATCATCATAATATGCAAATAATCAGATTTAAAAATCCCATCATAGACATCAAACTCTCCATTATCACCATGGAATGTTAAAAAATGTTTATACTGAACTGGCGTGCCCGTCCGCATTGTTTCAACCTAGTTGTACATACAAGGGAGGCAGAAGGGAGATGCAGGTTTCGGGGGGGGGGGGGGGGGGGGTTAGGGAGTTTCCCACTCAGTTAAGGTTTTCAGCGATAAGTTTAAAAGTACATGTGCCGGATGACGTATCTCACAAAAAAGTCAAAGTTCAATTTCTGTTAAAGGTTGATTCTATGAATGGCTTGTCAGAACTGCTGCAGCGCCGGTGGTCTTATTAATTTTCGGGGTGGTCCCTTATCGAAGACACCCCTCACTCCACACACAGCGACTGTGGTGCTATTAATATGGGGTGGACGGACAGTGGACCCTGTTTGACGCCTGACTGTCGGGTTTGTTACATGTAATGAATTTTACACATTTTGTATGCCATTATAGTGGACTTTCACTTCCTGTAGTGATCTTTGTTGATCCCCAGGAGGGTGTTTGGTTTATGCTAGTCACTATGGATGTGCATATAACATTAAGAAATTTTATTTTATGTGAGCCTTGTATATAACCTTTTTTTTATTTTAATTGATTTGTCTATTTTCCCTCTTTCTAGGACGGAATTCCAAAATTGGGTGTTTTGTTTAGTCGTGTTTTGTTCCATTAAGTTCTGTTTTCTTTTGTATATGTAGTTTATCCAGATCTATTCTTTTTTTTAAATTATTAGTTCCAATTTTCTTGTAAAATAAATTTCATGAACTATTAAAGTTTTTTTGTTGTTTTAATAGTTTCTTAGACTAAGGTTAAGAATAAGATTTAACCACTGTGGGTCTACCACGGTAGCACTGACCGGACAGTTAGTAAAGTCTGGGGAAGGGTAGAGAAATATAATAGTTATCCCCTCCCCCTAGCAGGGCTTACAAATGGGTAGCACGAGTGGGGTCAGTGCTTTAGTCTAGGAATTGTTTAAACACCCAATTTGGACGAGATGGCGGAGGTTGCACCCACGAACATCTTCATCGTGGCCCCCAGGGAGGCCCGCATCCGGAGGTTGCATGGGGACAGCCAGGGCTCTGAGGTAGACCGATTCGTCGAAGAGGTCTAGTCCGTCTGGATGGCCAGGAAAGACGTCTCAGCAGAAGAGAGGAAGGACCTTCTCTGGCAGTACCTGGGAGAAGCGGTCAGAGAGGAGCTGAGCTGTAGTGGCGATGACCTACAGCATGACCCGGAGGGCACGATCTGGCTCCTTGGTCAGATCTACGGAGAAAAAAAGGAGCGTCTCTCAGCTTATGGCCCAGTTCCAGAAGGTTGTACAGGGCCAACTGGAGTCGGCGAGGGCATATTCCCACCGCCTGAACAGGGCCTTCAAGACACTGGTCTCGAGGCAGAACTCCCTTCTGGTACCCCAGACTGATGCAGAGTTTCTACGAGACCAGTTTATGGAAAACCTAAGCCAGGCCTCTGTCAGACGCCAGTTACAAGAGCTGGTTTTCCAGGATCTTAAGATCCCCTTCCTGGCCATACGAGATGCGGCCATCAGATGGGCAGGATACGAAAACCCTCGTGCAGAACCTGCCTACGTGGCAGCAATAAATGCCAGGCCAAGTAAAAAATGTTCGTCCAGGTCCAAGCTGGAGGACAAAGTCGAAAAGCTCACAAGTTGACCCACTTTACACGGTACACCAAATTGTCCAATATTCGCCAAGCACCCCACCAGCGCCCAGATGTCAAAGCAAAGGTCTGCTATAATTGCCACCAGAGGGGTCACCTCGCCCGTCATTGCCATATGGCAAAGAAAAACGAGCCCAAAGCGGATCAAAGTCCCACTGTTGAGAGGTCAGTTCCAGGCAACGACCTAGACAAGCTTGTTGGAAATTGTCCCACCCTAACATTCCACATTCAAGACATAGACAGTGGCTTCCAGGTCAGCACTGTCATTGAGACTATAAACAGTGCCTCGGGGACATTTTACGGACAGACACCCACCAATCCCTGAGGGCAGCAAATGAGTTGGCCATCCCATACAATGGCTACTTTGTTACAAACCTGGAGATCAACAAAGAGGAACTACGTGACAAGGGATTCCTTGTCATCAAAGATCCAGTGGGAGGCTCCCCGTCACCATGCCTGATCGGTATGAATGTGCTCCAAGACCTAAAAGCTTTAGCCCCACTGATCAATTCTCCGAGAGTGGCACAGAGGACAGGACAGAAAGGCACAACCCTTAGTCCTATGGAGCGGACCTTTATGCCTGTAGAACGCGTGTCTGCTGTTCAGGCAATCGGAGGACCCAATGTGGTGCAGTTCCTGGGTCAGCCTTTTCACCCAGATCCGCCGGTGGTATCAGGCCCAACATCCTGCCAACGCGGACCAACCTGATGAACCAGAGGCCATCTGACCCATTCTTAAGTAAGGCACCGGGTGGTGGTGATGGGGATTACCCACAGCCAGAACGACTAGCCAGTCTACAGAAACCACAGACAGAGGCAAGCAGGAGGGACAAGCAGGTCAAAAATCGGCCAGTCGCTCTACTAGCCATAGGCGACCTGGTTCAGTTGAGACAGCACCCCTTTGGCAGACACAAAGTGGAAGACCTGTACAGTACAACCGTATATGTGGCGGTCAAAGTGCCCCCGATCACCGGCGGGTGCTATTCAATAAAAAAGAGGGATAGTCCTTCTGGCACCCGCAGGGTGGCTAGCACCCAACTAAAGAGATATGTGCCTCCCAGGGTTCAACCGCCCTCCCCAAGGCCTGTAAAAGTAGGATCACAGGCAGCTCCAGGCTACAAGCATGTTGTTTATAAAGTCCAAATACCGGGGCCCCGAGCATCTGGTAACCCCACAGTACCCGGCATACCTCTGCGCAGGTCAACCAGAGAGCGCAAAACCCCAGTAGGCTAGATTTGTAAATGTGCCCTGTGGGCTGATTTTTGTAAAGTTTCATTTTTGTAAAATTTGACCTTTGTAAAATTTCATTTTTGTGAATTTGATGGTTCTTATGAACCTTCCGTTTTTGTAAGATATTTATCCTTGTGAAAGTTTTGGTTCTTATGAACACCTATGTAAGTTTTTTTATTGGGTTCCTATGAACCCAAAGGCTGGAATTTTTATTTTTACTTGTTTAAACTGTTACCCTAGCATTGGCATTTTTATACTGACTACAGTACAATCATCAATTGTAAACGACGCATTACTGCCCTTTATTAGTGTGCCTACTTCATCAAACAACTGATAAGATAACCCTGACCCTTACTGTTGACGATGATGTCAATAGTAAGTATAAAGAAGTTACAATATTTAAAAAGTCTGTAAAAGAAACAACAAGTTTCCTGGCCTTATCAGATTAGTTTTTAAATGTTACATTTAGTGTAATATTAACATGACTTCCTCATAGACGACTAACGGTTTCGATCAGGATATGCACTGGCTTTTGTAAAAAAGTTGTCTGTAAAGAAACTTCACTTGAGTTTTTATTAAGGAATCACATACCCTGCGCTGCCAGGTTTTTGGGAATATCTTAATTTGTCGTTTAATGTCTATATGGACATATAGTAAATAGGTAAATCCTAAACCTAACTTTCAACCTTAATCTAATACTAACCACAACCAGCCACAAACACAATTATAAACATTAAAACATAGAGACATAGACAATAACATATTCTTCTGTTCGCACTTCTACGTCTAAAAAACAACTTCATAAAAACAAATTTAAACACAATCACAATCAGTATCACAATCAATATCACAATCAATATCAAAATCAAAATCAAAATCACAATTAAAATCACAATAAAAAAACAAATATAAACATAAACGTAAACTCCTGCGCCTACAATAGTACCTACATCTACATACACACATACATTTACTTATACTAATACATAATATAAGTAAAGGTATTTGTATATGTATAGGAATATATTATATTCCTATACATATACTAATACCATTACTTACACGTATACCTATCCCTGACCTATTCTTAACAGGTCTACGCCCAATTCCCGAAAGACACTTTCCGAGATGCCGTTTGTTTGTGGTTGTGGTTCAAAAAGTGTTGAGGGTTGACTGATGTTTATTTTTTGTGTTAATGTTTATTGGTTGTAGTGAGGGTTAGGGTTTTTGTTTGAGTTTGTGTTTATGGTTGGCGTGGTTCTTATTTTTAGACGTTTAGGGTTAGTTTTGAAGTTAATCTTTTTGGCCTTAGCAAATATTTTAAAAATTGAAAACCATTTAAAATTCCACTGATTTTAGCTAGAAAGATGCGCTCAAACTTTTCCAGTGTTGTAATGCACCAGTATTGAAAAAACGAACCCGATTCGTTCAGGAGTTTGTATTTCTATAAAAGACAGTCACCCAGTCAGTCAGTCTGTCCCCAACGCAGACATACATTGCTTTATATATATATATATATATATATATATATATATATATATATATATATATATATATATATATATATATATATAAACTTAAAAAAATAGAATAGAATCTCGTAAAAAAACAGAATTGCGCACCAAGTGAATGTCAAACAATATGTGTATAATAGTGCAGACTATTATTAGTACTTTATACATTCATATGCGTTTTTTAAGAAATCGGAAATAGCGTGAGTTACTATTTCCTGCCAACGGAAATTACTCAAAATTTTATAGGTGGTAGAAAAGTAGATAGTAGACTACTATGTGAAATTGCATTCATATATCTTATATAGTTCTGAAGTTATAGGCTTTTGAAAAATTAAAAGTAGAATAAGCTCCACTTTCGTTTAACTGAATTCGCCGAAAAGTTGATACAGGACTACACATTTGAAATAATACAGTATAAATTTTTTTATCAACTTAGCCGTAACGGTACTTAAGCTATCGTGTTTACAGACATACATACACACACACACACACACACACACACACACACACACACACACACACACACACACACACACGGAAATAATTGCAAAGCCCAGTTTTCCCGACTCGATTACGCGTAGAACGCCAAAAATTTTATAAATCTGCCTTTATAATTTTTACCCGATTAAAATTAGTCCCTTGAGGTGTAAAACGATGAAAACTGTCAAAATGTGATTTTTGTGCACGATTACAATACTACTTCTATACTCTATACACGAGAAAGTAAAAGACTGGTCCATACAGCTGGGCATCAGAGGTCTCACACGCTGCATATCCATGGAAAAAGAAACCTCTGTTTGTTTTATGTCTGGTGGTAACGCTGCGAAATAATATGGAAAGTTAACTTATAAAAATTGTAAAACATATTTGCCCAACATAATCCAAAAAATAGGGGTTGGCGTGGCAGAGACTTGTAAAATACTACTGGTTGTGGTAATAGTAATGGCTTTGGTTATGGTTATGAAAGTAAAAACAAAAACCTACTGTTTAGAGATTGATAGATGACTCTGTGGAAAGACATGGATAGCTTGGTATAATTTTTGTTCTGTAGTGTGGTCATTACGCAGGATGATAATTGAGAAAATTTAATTGATCTGGGGTAATTAACGGTTGGGGTTAGGGGTGGTTAACGTCTAGACCCGGGTAGAGTATGTCACATTTTGATTGAAATTTAGGTTTAAGTTTAGTTATAAGCTTATTTATAAAAATTCTTATGGGGATATGCGGAAGAAAAAAATAGGCGAAATTCAAATTTTCGTGATAATGGGTTTCTTGCATTTTTGCATTTCTTGTCCATTTCTAAATTTAGAAAATAAGAACTTAAAG